TGTGATTAATTGATTACTCTACTGGAGTATTTTAATTCTTTATTATTTTTAGTTTGATCATAGATTTTTGCTTTGGGATTACCAAGAGGCTTATAAAAACATCTTTCAATTATAACAAATTATGATGGTATCTTAACAGAATCATAAAGATAAGAATGGTAACAAATAAAAAAGAGAAAAAAAATGTACCAATAAGGGCTGGGCACAGTGGTGCATATCTGTAATCCCAGCAATTTAGGAGGCTAAGACAGGAAGATCGCAAGTTCAAAGCCAGCCTCGGCAACAGTGAGGCACTAAGCAACACAGTGAGACTCTGTCTCTAAATAAAATACAAAATACAGCTAGGGAAATGGCTCAGTAGTCAAGTATCCCTGAGTTCAATCCCCGTACACCCTCAAAAAATGTACCAATAAGAAAATTCTACACATATACTCTAATCCTCACCATATTTTGGATTTTTGATGCCCCATTTTTTATCTTTCTGTATTACCTATATCTAAACACATTAGCATAGTTCTTATTTTAATTTTTTTTTAGTTTTCATAGTAGATATACGAATGCCTTATACACCATGCCTTAGAAATTAGAACATTCTGAATCTGTGCATATAGTTATTCTTACCAGTGAGTTTTATACATCCCTTCTTCTTTTTTAAATTTTTTTTAAAGGAGAGAGAGAGAGAGAGAATGAATCTTTTTTTTTTTTTTTTTTTTTTTTTTTTTTGTAGATGGACACAATACAATATACAATGCCTTTATTTTTATGTGGTGCTGAGAATCGAACCTGGGTCCAGGCCATCTAAGCGAGCGCTCTACCGATGAGCCACAATCCCAGCCCACCCTCCCTTCTTCTTAGTAATCATCATTTCTTTAAGTTTGAAGAACTCCCATTTGCATTTCTTTTGGAACAGAAACAAAAAATTAGGACTTTAGTTTCATTGTGTACCTGTCTTTTCACAATTTTTGCCTTGAGCAATTTATAAAAGATACTTGGGATGTACAAGTGACTCTTGGCCCATTCTATAAGCTTTCTCACCCATATTGTGATTTGAGAAAGAGCCCAGTGTCCATCCTTTAGTAGTTAATCTAAAGGGTAACCTCTTCCTTCTTTGGCGTCACCCATTATCCCAGGTATTTTTATTCCCTTCTTTCTTTATTTTCAGAAATTACATTTTGGGAATATAAGAATTTTCCATAAATCTCATAAAAATGTACCCCAAACTGAATGTCTTAAGACAACAGAAATTTATTCTGTATCTTCAGACACAGTTCTGGAGAGCAAAAATCCAAAACCAAGGTGTCAGCAACTGTCAACAGACCTCTAGGGAAAAATACATTCTTTGCCTATTTCAATTCCCAGGCAGTCCTTGGCCAGTGACCACATAAATTTAGTCTTTTTTTTTCCACCATCATAGTGCCTACTTCTCTCTCAAATGTCCATCTACCTCACTCTTATAAGGATACTTTTCATTGGATATATAGCTCACCCCTACAATTCAGGATGATTTCCTTATCTCAAAATTCTTTTTTTTTTTAAGAATTTTTTTTAAAAGACAGAGAGTGAGAGAAGAGAGAGAGAGAGAGAGAGAGAGAGAGAGAGAGAGAGAGAGAGAATTTTTTTAATATTTATTTTTTAGTTTTTGGCGGACACAACATCTTTGTTTGTATGTGGTGCTGAGGATATAACCCGGGCCGCACGCATGCCAGGCGAGCGCGCTACCGCTTGAGCCACATCCCCAGCCCTCAAAATTCTTAATTATATGTTCAAAAGCCTTTTCCAAGAAAAGTAATATACATAGGTTACAGGGATTAAGATGTAGACATATTTTTTGGGGGGGTCACCTATGGGAACTTTTCTTCTCAGTTGATGGCTATTGAGAACGTTGCATCTGAAAAATCAGTGTTTTGTACTACTCATATGAAAGATCCTGTGGGTAGCTCCAATGAATGTTATTCTGCTATGTAACAATCTGATGTTTTCTTCTTAAGTAACAATCTTCAGTTTTCTAAGTATATGCCTGAAGACTGGAAAAATAAGATGCTAAAGGCAGGGTGTAACTTTTCACATGATATGTATTTTCTCTATTTTAAGGGAGAAATTGATTTTAAACTGTGATTATTATGTCTATATATATCCCTCTACTTATTGATTACCTGGTTCACAATTATTTCTCATCATTAACTTCCTGAACCTGAAAGTTACTGTATATGCCAGTTCACATTGAGACACTTTCGTGCCTCTCTGGGAATGGAAGGACTAAATATACAGGCAGACAATTGCCAATTCTCATGTAAAAATAAAGCTCTGTTTTAAAAGCTGAACAAACCCATGAAGCCAAACCATAGCCTCTGTAGCAAACAATCCAGGGCAAACCAGTCTCTGTAACACTTAGGGCTTGATTAATTACTGTCATTTTCCTAATTTCTGTCTTCAATAGGAGAAAGCCAAGTATGTTCCCCCTAACCAAGGAGGTTCCATTTCAAGTTAAGATGTTCCATTTCAAGTTAGCCTAACTTCAGCTTCCCTCAGCCAACAGCCTTCAACCAAGGCATACATAAAATACTCCCTCTGATTTCTACCTAGTTTTCCCATTCCTCTGTCTTTGAGTTTCTGCAAAATATAAATGAGGTGGCTGATTTTGCTATAGCAAGCTCTGAATAAATAGGCTTTAATTACTCTCATTTGAGTAGTCTTTTATTTCCAAAGCAGGCAAAGGAAATCTGAGCATGCTTTCTGAGTCATAATAGAGGTGTAGGGCTCTGTGAGGTTGGCTTTAGTTCCATTATCCTGGATTCTCATTAGGCACTGCCATTTTGCAGTTGTTTTGCAATGAGAGGCTGCCAGAGTTCTCTTGCTAGACTTTGGAAATGAGGTAGCAGTCCTTTCTGTTCCTGGTTTACCAACAACTAGCTTGCATTTTAAAGGAATCAATTCTCCCATCACACTGGAAGTTTTGACCTTAAGAAGGGCTAACCTGTGGAATTTTTTAGGAAACCTCACTACCAACTCATTTTATTGTTGTTTTCTCTCCTTTCAGATCCTCTTATCCCCTATCTAGTAAGTGCCTCATATTTACTTTCTGTAATAGGTTCAAATTCTGATGTGATCACTTATTAGCTATGTAGTCTTGTGCAAATCACTAATTAGAAACTCATTTTCCTCATCCACAGAATGGAAATTATAATAAATTGTACCCATTCCATAACATTGTGAAGATTAAATGAGGTTAACTAACACAAACATCTTAGAATAGAATAGTGCCTTTCACATAGTGAATGTTCAAGAAGAGTTAGCTATTGCTACTTTGAAGGGAGTCTATAGTTCTAAACTGTTACTAGTGCTCTGATAGAGTAGGTAATGGGTAACATCTGTGTCATAAAGAAAAATGGAGTTATATTCTATTAGGGAGGAAGACATCATAGGGGAATTGTATGTGAAAGATCAGTAATTACTTGTTAAGCAGATGGGAGGAGGATGCAAAGAATATGTGGATAAAAGGTAAGAAAATGCACAACTGATGATTTATAGAGTTTAGTAGGGTTAATTGGGGAGAGTTGTTGTAACTGAGAGCTGGGATAGAATGGTCTATATATGCCTCTTTGAAAGAACAAATATGGAGTTTAGATTTTACCCTTTAAATCAGCAATTCTCAAAATTATGGTACTTGAGTGTCACCCTGAAGCTGTTAATTTGAAATTCAAATATATTTGCTCCAGCTTTAAAAATCTGTGGAAAAATTCAGGAATATAAATATTTAATAAGCACTCTAGATGATTGTGAGGAATGTGGTTTTCCTACACCACAGAGTGATAAACTTCGTATTGCAGGCTGTGTAGACTCGTTTAAGCTTATGTTTTAGAAACATCATTCTAATGCTACTTATTTGCCCATTAAAATTACTAAGGGTGGTATCTAGATATCATATTTTTTATTACTTAGGTGATTCCAATTTTTAGCCAAAAATAGCAGCACAAATGTAGCAGTAGTGTGGAAGGCAGATATTTTAATAACAAAACTGGAAATTAATTAAGATATCATTAAAAGAATGTGGGCAAGAGTAATAAAGATATGAACAAAAACAATGGCTAGACAGCTGGAAAACTTAAAGGTAAATGAAATATTAATACCAGTTCACCTAAGGGTTGATGGAGTGAGGGCATGAGTGATATTAAGGATGACATTTAAGTTTCTCAGTTGGATCTTGAGTGGATTGGTTTGCCTCTCAACAAAAGAGAAGAACTACTTGAGGAAAAAGAGTTTGCAAAAAAAAAAATCTGCCATTTTATAGCAGAGGTGGGGGCAAAGGGGAGGTGACCTAAAATTGTTTTTAGTACTAGTACCAGATTTTAGTGTGTAAAAAATTCATCTGCTGGGAATGCTGGTGCAAGCCTATAATCCCAGTGAACCAGTAGGCTAAGGCAGAAAAATTACAAGTTGGAGGACAGCCTCAGAAACTTAGCAAGATCTTGCCTAAAAATGAATACATATAAATAAAAATATCTGTGAATATAGCTCAGTGAAAAAAATTCCCCAGTCTTCCATCCCCAGTATAAAAATAATCACTTGAAGATATTTTTAATTACATAAATTCCTACTTCCTCTATCTTCTTTTTTAGGAAGACTTGGAATATTATTTGATGCTTTTTTTTCCTTTTTCCTTTTTTAAAAATCACATCAGTACAGTCTATAATCCTTTGCTAATTGTACTGATAAACATTTTAAAAATAAAGTTGAAAGCCAATTGAAAATTGTACTAAAATCTACTTCATGCTTATAAATGGATAACTACTAGTGACCTTCAAAATTTGATGCTAATAGATACTTATTTATTTTTTATTTTTTTAAAAATATTTTTTAGTTGTCAATGGACCTTTATTTTATTTATTTATATGTGGTGCTGAGGATCGAACCCAGAGACTCACACATGCTAGGCAAGTGCTCAACCACTGAGCCACACCCCCAGCTCAGTTTTTTTATAGTTAAATAAAATGTTCACAGAGTAACAAAGAAATTATTTAATGCACCCTTGAAATGGAACCAGTCCATGTATTAAAGTGATTAATTAAACAGATCTATGAAGTATATGTAGAACCGTCTTAGTAAACATCTCAGCATAACTGCCCGTTCATTCCATCTTCAGGAATTTCAGAATCTCTTTGTTTTCCTTTGCCTTGTGGAACATTTCGAAATCCTAAAACCAAAACAAAACAAAAATAAAATTAACTTGTAACATCAGTGATAATAATTCTCAATTATGACCCCATTAAACTCAAGTGTCCACGTTAAGTCTGCCTAGGCTTTGCAAACCTCTGCTAGTTAAGTTAGATGAAAAATTTCTCCAGAATACGACTTATTTCATATTATGATGTATGATGAAAAATACTGATATAATTATCTTCAAACAAGCTTCATGATATATTTTCTTTTCTTGTTTTCTTTTGGAAGTACTAGTGATTGAATCCAGGGGTGCTTAGCAACTGAACAACAGCCCCAACTCTTTTTCAAATTTTGAGACAAGGTCTCACTAAATTACTAAGGGCCTCACCATGTTACTGACACTGGCCTCAAAATTGTGATTCTCCTGACTCAGCCTACTGAGTCGCTGGGATTACAGGTGTACGCCACCCGCCTAGATGTTATTTTATTTTTATTTCTTGATGATTACCATTCTGACTGGAGTGAGATAAATCTCAGTGTTGTTTTTTTTTTTAATATTTATTTGTTTAGATTTAGGTGGACACAATATTTTATTTTTATGTTGTGCTGAGGATTGAACCTAGTGCCTTATGCATGGTAGGTGAGCACTCTACCTCTGAGCCACAACCCAGCCCTCAGTGTTGTTTTGATATGCATTTTCCCTTATTGCTAATAATGTTGAACAATTTTCATATATGTGTTGGTCATTTGCTGCAATTATAGGCATGTGCTTCCATGCCCAGCTATATTTTCCTTTTGTAATAATCTTTTCTTCATAAAATAAAAATTGCCTTGCTTTCAGGAACTTAATTAAATTATTCTATAGCTGGGGAAATCTAACCCTCTTACCCTGTACATATACATTTTCTCTTGTATATGACTTTAAGATATGAAATGAAAATAGAATAAAAATGGATATTCACTCTTACTCCACAATAGTCTTGGCCATTGAATATTTGAGGTGGTAGAGCCTTAGGTGTGGAAACCTTCATCCTCATTTCTTGGAGTACTTTCAAACTGATAGAAATATCTATTAATTCATACTGTACTTTGTAAGCATCTAAAATTCTGATAACTTCTTCTTGTCTCTGCTTTACCTAGATAGAAATATAGAAAGAAAGATGTTAATAAGTTGAATCAATTGATCCCAATATTTTTTCCCCTTCCTTGTCCATTATGTTATAGAACAGGAATAGCTATTAATGGTACAAAGCCTGATTGTGAAACAAATTAGGGATTCTTGTAAATATTTTGAAACAAAGTTAAGTATTGTTCTTGTGAAGTTTATATGTTTGTATGTGTGTGTGTGTATGTATATGTGTGTGTGTGTGTATATATATATAAACACATTACATATAGTATATATGTCATATAAACATTTAATATATGCATGTGTATATATGTGTATACACATGTTTGTGTATATGTATATACATAGATAGATGTGCAACAGACTGTACATGGCACCATTCACAGTTGCCATAAGTGTAAACACTGTACTGATGCAGTATTAAATCATAACTGCATAAAATTAGCCACAATACATTCTATACAACTATATTAATTTTGTAGCCATCTACTGTTCCTATTTCAATGAGCTCTTATGTTTGGAGTATGTGCTTTAAAAATCTAAGGTGAATCTATGTGATGCTAATCATCTCTGCATGTGCAGTTCCTCTCTTCAGTTAATTGCACCATTCAGTAAAAAGTGATCTTTCCTGGTTCTCATGTACTTTCAACATATATAATATATAACATTTAAAATGTGTACTATTCAACTGTATACTTTATTGGTAAGGTTTCTGGTCTTGAGGAATCAAAAGTTAAATTGCAGATTTTCGACTGTGGGGGTAAGACTGATCTCTGCTCTCCTAACACCTCCCAGCCTCCCAGAATTGTTCAATTGTCAACTGTATATAAGAAAATTATAGTGTCTGTGGGGGTTGAAAATCTCTTATGGATTGTAAATATTTACCAGATTGATTTCACACTGTATTTTAAGCTGTTAAGAACATTCTGCTAATAGTTGAGGCAGGCTTTTGCACTCGTTCGTGCTTTAATTTATACTGGTATCTATGGCAGTTCTGGATAGGAAATGGACATGATACCACATTTTAATACTGAGGGAAACATACTACAAGTTACAAATCACAGAGACTAAATCAGAGAGGCAATCCAAAGGATGAAAAAATAAATACATGAACGGATTACTATTTATAAGTAAGTGAGTATATCAAGGTGGTCACTTCTTACTCTGTCCTTTCATATGAACTGTTAAATTTGTATCATCTGCTAATAGGTAAAATTTCAAGAGTTGGTTATTTTTTAAAATATTTTTAGCTGTTTATGGACCTTTATTTATTGATTGATTGGTTTATTTTTAAAAAATGTTTTTAGTTGTCAATGGACCTTTTTTTATTTATTTATATGCAGTGCTGAGAATCGAACCCAGTGCCTCACATGTGCTAGGCAAGCACTCTACCTCTGAGCCACAACCCCAGCCCCAAAAGTTGGTTATTTTTTAAATGTATTTAATAGCCATATTTAAAAAAAAAAACCTACAACATAAATCTTAGGTAAAGGTTAAGGTTACTACATTTTCATGTGACAAACTTGGTCAATTTTGTCAAATAAAATCTGTAATGAAAGAAAACATGTGAAAGCAATCTGACAAACCCAAACCCAGCTTATTCAAGTGGGATTTCTATGAAAGTGCATGTCAGTAGGCTTTTTGTTTGATGACTTGAAATGGTAATCCTGCCATGCTTAGAAAACTGTGACTATATCCAATGGATAATGGAGAAAATTCTGAAATTCTAAAATGCAGCATTTCTAATTTCTAAGGCTCATTAGTTTTTTAAAACTGAGAAGTCATATTACATGAGATTTGAGTCACATTTTTATACTAATTTTTCAAAACCTTTTCAGAGGAACCCATTAGAATAGGGTTGCCTAGAGCAGTGCTATTCTGTGTGTGATTCACAGACTAGCAGCATCAGCATTAGTCCACCTCAAATCTACAGTGTCAGAATTTCTGGGGGTGGGTCCTAGGAAAAATTTATTTTAACAAACCCTCCAGATGATTGTTATCTACAGTATGTCATGGGACAAGAGTTCAGTGGGTGATCTACTGAATTCATTGTGGTTCTTACTCCAAATCATTCCCTCTTACAGTTACTAAACTCAATAACATTAATTACAATGCTAAAAAGAAAAACCTAGTAAAATAGCCCACAGGTTTCTTTTTTTAAATCTGCTCATTTTTATTCTTGTGGGTTAGTACACAGGCGAAAACACTAAACTACCAGACCAGGTTTTATGCAAAATCAGCCTCCTCTTTCAAGACTGAATTAATCTCATTCCTCCTGCAAATATGGAGTTTGACACACAGAATGATTGTGGTGAAGCTATGTCAACCATTTATAATCAATTCCAAATTCCTCAGTTTTCATTTTTGTCTAAAAAAAATCGTAGAAGGAGGTTCTTGGCCATATATTGGTCATTCTATAGTTGTGCTGCCTAATGTGATAACCACTAGTCACATGTGACTATCATGGAATGAAATGTGGCTACTCCAAAATGAGATGTACTATATGTAGTATTTGCACAATTCATAGTAAATTTGAAGACAATATAAAAATAATATATAATATTTGCATTTCTTATATTGATTACATGTTGCAATAATGGTATTTGGATATTTTGTGTTAAACATATTAAAGTTAATCTCACCTGTTTTTTAAATAGCTACTAAAATTTCAAGTTACATATATGGCTTTCATTATATTTCTGTTGCACAGTTCCATTCTATAATATTTCCTACATTCTGGTTAAAAGAAGTCATTTAAATTTCAATTAATCTAAGAAACGTCTGATCTATGCAAATACATCTACTTATTAGAAATTGACAGTTTTTAGGGGAAAACAATGGAATGAATCTGACATAACTTTCTTATGTACATATATGAATGTTACACAGTGGATCTCACCATCTTGTACATCCACAAACCTGGGGTCTTAATTAGAATAAGATATACTGCATGCTTGTATAATTATATTAAAAGGGACTCTACTGATATGTATAACTTAAAAAAATAAGAAGTCGACAGTTTGGCAGGGTGTAGTGGTGCACCCTGTAGTCCCAGCGACTGGGGAAGCTAAGGCAGGAGGTCACAAATTGGAGGTCTCTGTAATTTAGTGAGAACCACAGCAACTTAGTGAGACTCTGCCTCAAATTTTTTTAAAATCTTTTTTTTAGTTATCAATAGACCTTTATTTTATTTATTTATATGGTGTGCTGAGAATCGAACCCAGTGCCTCACACATGGTAGGCAAGCACTCTACCACTGAGACACCACCCCTGCCCCTGCGTCAAATTAAAAAAAAGAGTGGGGATATAGCTCAGTGGTAAAACACCCCTGAGTTCAATACCCAGTACCTAATAGTAATAATAATAATAATAATAATAATAATAATAATAATAATAATAAAAAATAAGAGTTTGTCTCATTTGGGTTCTCTTCTCTGAGGAGTTTAGGTGTTCATTCACTGTCATTTTCCCTCTCCCTTCCTAAATAGAGTTCTTTATTTCTACCATTTGAAATACAGGTAAAATTACTGAAGGTCCTTGAGGTGGTTGAATTCAAGATACCAGTAACTTCCCATGTCAGTCAGTTCTTAGAGCTCAATCTGTATGAGAGAGTTAATCACATTATCTGTCCTTCTGTGCACCGCCCACCTCCCAAAGCCTAGAGAGTATGGAGTTGAGAGGAAAGGAAGAAAGGTTATGTAAAGTATTAGCAAAATTTTGAAGTTTCCAACTAGAATGTCTTCACTCTAGTCTCTCCCGCTCCCGCCCTGGCGCTGAGGCCCTTTTCTTCCTACTCACCTCCCTAGAGCCTGACACGCTGGTATAATAGACTTTAATGGAATTCATTGTTTCCACGCAGGGTACTTTTGCAGGAGTAATAAGAAGTTAACTACTTCACGGCTACTTCCCTCAGCTCAGCTTGGCTTCAGTAGTCCGAACACCCAGCTTTGCCCTCCTCCAAGTGGGTTTCTAAGGGCCAGTAGCCCTTGGGCTCTGGATTGGCTGGAAAACAAGCGCCCCTGTGGCGTATGCTAGCTCCCATTCTGAGGAAAGCGGGTTCCTGGTGACCAGAGAGCGGAAGCCCCCACCGGCAGGCGGGGAGGAGGGCTGGACTCCCAGAAGTGATAAACACTAGCTAAATCCTCTTTTATCTCCTCATTTGAGAGGCCCTGGAGAGGAGGAGCGGGAAGTGTAAAATGCATTCTCAGGCCCAGCATGCTATCCATTTCCCTCCGCCCTGCTTGGAAAAGGAGGCTAGGCAAGCGGGAACTTTTCTGTAGGCTACTAAAGCTGCGTAAAAAATACGGAGTCACCTGAGACCGAAAGTATTCCAAATGCAATGTACTGCGTGGAAAAAAACACAAATAAAACTTGTGTTGTTTGAGTTTAAAGAGAAAGAACAAACGGTACTCGTCGGGAGGTGACCATCATATCAACATTATCTTTTCTCTTTGCCCAGGGAGCTTCCTCTTTTCTCTCTCCTACCGCCCCCCCCCCCCCCCCCCCCCCCCCCCCCCCCCCCCCCCCCCCCCCCGCAGCCCTCCGCCCTTCTTGAGAACGTGATTTGCAGCTCTCCTTTTCCTTCTGGGAGTCAATTTTTTAGTTTGTGCTATACCAGGTGCAATATTCCCGGCCTCTCCTAACACTTTTTCTCTTTTCCTCTTCTGTAAAAAGATGACCTCTTGCTTAAATGTTGACTTCCTTTTCAATATATTCTTAACTCATTTTCCAGTTAATCTTTTTCAGTAGTGGAGTGTAGTAATATTTTGGGTGTTTCCCAAAAGTGGGTAGATGATAATGGAAATTAAGAGCGAAGGACCAAAGAACTGCTCAGCCCCAGCTCCCGAGTTAGGCAAATTCATATTCTATGGTTCTCCCACTTAATTACTATGGATTTGGGGCAGATTACTTACTTACTTCCTGTCAGTATCTCTGTGGTTAAAATGAGTATGGTCATACCTACCTACCAATATCCTTGTCAGGATCAAATGAATTAAGTATGTGAAAGTGTTTGGCACACCATTTAAATAGTAGTTCAGAAAATGGTAATAATAATTATTGATGATAATAATTGCTAGACACATTCAGAACACATCAGTGAACAAAAAAAAAAACCCTACTTTTGCCTTCAAGTAACTCACAGAGTAAAACCTAACAAAAGAAGGTAAATATAGAGAAAACTAAAGGAGACTAGTGGGTCAAGGCAGGCAGCCCTAAATAATTGAGAGCTGAACTACAACCTGAAGGATGTATAGTCTGCAGGGAATTTAGAAGAACAAAGGACTTTTTGGTAGAGAGAGGAGTCATGAAAAAAATGGCAATTGTAGCTTTGGAAGCAAGTAGAGAAATAAAAGGGAGGCTGAGGAGGTAAACTGGGAAAATCAACAGAGGTTTTCTGATTTCATGTTGGATTTTAGTTTTATTTTATTTTATATTATTTAATAATATTTTCAAAGTTGTTTCCTGTTGTGCCAAATTGTGGATAATCATAACTTGTAGATCTTCTGTGAAGATTAAATGTAAAACGTTTGTAAGAATCTTTCACTTTGAGGCATGTCATAAGTTGTATCAACTTGTATTAATCAATGGATGATAGAAGCCTTTGAAAATTTTAGCAGTTTTTCATGAAAGGCAGACCAATTTTACATGTTAATTTGATTAGAAGAGGGCCAGACTGGAAGCATTTGCAGCAATCCAAGAACTAAAGATCATGGCAGTTGTGAAAGGCAGAGCTTTTAAGACAGGACATCCAATACAACTTGGATCAGCTGGATGTAGGGGTCAGCAAGGCAAAAAAACAATGAAGGAGTATAATGTAGGAGGAATTAGACATCTCCATTTCCTTTTAATATTCTGTTGTAATACTATGTGTAAGAAATCAATTTTTTAAATTGTTTTTATTATCTTTCTCATGTGGACTGTAACATATTTCCTCAGTTCAAGATAAGCCATTCCCTTGGCTCCAATTAATGCACTATTACTTGTAAGAGAATAACTTGACAGCTTAAAATAAAAAAAAAAATTGATTGGTATGGCCTACAAAGTTAAATTTAACCTACTCTGTAGCATGTTTTTTTTTGATAATTATTTAAAATGATAAAATACTATGAAACAAAAGCTATATTTATAATTGTAGCCCAAAATATTAACTATGTAAAAATTTTCTTTATGCTTCTCAGTCTACTTTAGCATTTTATATCTAGATTTACTTATGGCTTTGGAAATCCTTGATAAAGATAACAAATATTTTTCTTGTCATTTGTGTGAATTATTTATTTTTTCAATCATTCACATTGTTGGATAGTAGCTAGCAATGAATAGTGAAATGCATGGCAAGGTCACAAATGTTCTTTAAATTACTTTAGGATCTTTAAACTACTTTCAAAGTGGAAGAGAAAGCAAATAGCAGTTAATTTGTTGAAAACAAATAGCAGGTTAAAAAAAAAAAAAGAAGAAGCAGTTGCCCAGGGTTGTGGTTCATGGTAGAGTGCTCACCTAGGCCCTGGGTTTGATCCACAGCACCACAGAAAATAAAGGTATTGTGCCCAACTACAACTAAAAAATAAATATTTTTTTAAAAAGAAGCAAAGGGGCTAGTAGGAAAATGTGTTAAAATAAAAGTATTAATGGGAGTAACTCTTTACAGGATCTTTGAGGTTGGTGTGAAGCTAGGAATTATAGCCAGAGGTGTTTCTGTTTGTATGGGAAGTAAGATTACCTTAGTTGTGTGGGTGCAATAAAGTAACTTCTGACCAGTTACTGACTCCAATGTCCACATTAGCATGGGATTGACTTGTAGATGAAGCCCACTAAATAGGATGGCCACCATGACAGTTCCAGAGAGGACCAACTAAGGTCAGAATCTCCACTGCCCTACATGAAAGAGGTGTTGAACACCTGATTGGTGAAGGTTGCTGAAGAGGACCCTAATTCTCCTGGTAAACATCAAAAGGTGATAAGGTTAGAGACAGCATTGTGTTGTATGTCATTCTCTGCTTGGAGACAGCCCATTGTCTCTATTGAGAATGCTCCTTGCTTGAGCCTTACTTTCCTTTTACTTTCCTTTCACCTCACTTTCACTTATAATAAAGTTCTCTTGCATGGCTTTTGGTGTCTGACTTGAAATTATCTTTCTGGGAATACAAAAAACAAGGTTTGGAGTTCCAGCTCCCTGCTTTCCTGTGACAAAATTATTATGAATACATGCTCATTATATCATAATTCAAATCATATAGAAATACAGGGTCTAAAAATAAAAATATCACTTTACCTGCTTCCTTATATTGAACAACAGTTCTGTTTTTTATGCTTTTCCACCACAATAGTTGTATATATTAAGGCAATGAAAAGGGGGAGAAAGTCAACTCAGCAAGGAAGTTAACCACACAGGCTTTGATATCAGGCTCTACCACTTACATTTGCCTAATATCGGGCAAGTTATCTAACTTCTCTGTGCTTGTTTTCTTATAGGTAAAATGGAAATAATAATATCTGTTTCATATATATATATATATTATGATGATTAAATTATTATGTGTAAAGTATTTGGAAGTGTTGACACATAGCACAAGCAATTCATGATGGAATCATACTGCATATTCTATTCTGCAAGGTGCATTTTATACAGATAACTAGGAAATATGGTATAGTGATTAACAGCATTGGATATGAATCCATTACTTGATTCTAATCCTAGTTCTGTTATTTACCTGTTTGTTACCTTCAGCAAGTATATAATCTTTCTCTCTGCTTTTTTTCTGTAAATGGGAATAATAATATCTTGTTCATGTAGTGTATGTAGAATATGTAGAATAACTGGTAGTAATTATTTAATAAATACTTGCTATTAAATCCTTAAAAATTCTCAGATATAAATTAAAGCCACACTGAGATTTAATCACGTTCCAGTTAGAATACAAATCACCAAAAATACAAATAAATTCTGGCAAGGATATGGAGAAAAATGTGCACTCATACATTGTTGGTGGGACTGCAGATTGGTTCAACTAGTTTGGAAAGCAATATGGAGCTACCTCAAAAGATTAGTAATGGAACTACCATAATACCCCATTATTTCATTCCTTGATATTTATCGCAAATAATGAAAATTAGCATACTATAGTGATACAAGCACATCAATATTTGTAGCAGTACAATTCACAATAGCAAAATTATGGAACCAACACAGGTGCCTATCAAAAAATGAATGGATGAAGAAAATGTTATGGTATATATGAATTCATATGGAATATATGAATGGAATATATAAATGGAATTTAAACAGTCAAAAGGAGGAATGATATTTGGCATTTGCTGGTAAATGGGTGGAACTGAAGAACATTATGCTAAGTGAAATAAGCCAGACTCAGAAAGTGAAGGTTTGAATGTTTTCTTTCATATGTAGAAGCTAGAGCAAAATAACAGAAAAAGAGAGGGGGCACCATGAAAATAAAAGGAACATCAATGGAGTAGGGGAATATTATTAAGGGAGAAGGAGAGGGGACAGGAAAAGGGAGGAATTGTCCAATGAAATTGACCAAATTTTGCTATGACTACACCATGTGAATTTCACTTTATCTATAAAGTACCAATTAAAAAACTGTAAATAATTAGAAGGAAGACCAGTAGTGTAGAGGAAGGGGAACAGAGGGAGGAGAAGTAGAGAGAAAGAGGAAGTACTGTAATGGAACAAATTGTATTCCATGCATGTGTGTATTATGTCAAAATTAACCCACTTCAATGTATAATTATGCTGCACTAATAAAAGCAGTTTAATATTTCATGTCCTAGATGTATCATGATTTTTCTACCATTTAAACCATTTTTTGTTTGTTTTGTTCTTTCCACATTTTATTGGTGTATTAAAGTTGTACATAATTATGGAATTTGTTATTACATATTCATACATGCACAAAAAACAATACTATTTTTGGCCAGTATCACTCCGCAGCTGTGTCATAATTTATTTAACCATGCTCTTATTAATGGCCATTTGGATTATTTCAAATTATTCATTATTACAAAATATGCTGGTACCACTTTTTATTCCATTTAAAAAATGAAAATAGCCTTCCTCTACCTTCATTTACTTGAAGAAAGCTGTTGTTAACATTTTCTGACTCTCAATTTCATTTCCAACTTGAATAAACACTTTCAAGATCCTCTTTTGGTATATGATCATTACCATACCAGACATGTGATCAACCCACATCATTTTCCTATTACTTTGTTTCAGTCGTAGGGTATGAACGGAAAGCAGAAGCATTTTATGTGGTTAAAGCTATCTTTCTGAAATGTTGAGTAGAAGCTGAGAACCAACGACTTTTTTGTGTTTGGAGTGTTGGAACTTTGGAAGACCAAATCTAAAAGTACATTGACATTTTGAAAAGGTAAGTCTAAATTCTAACATATTCCAGCTCATATTACTTTATTTTCTTCCAAAAGTCTTTTAAGTATAAATAAAAGTAGATTTCCTGGGAATATTTATAGTAGACACTATAGACTTGAAAAAGGAAAATTGTGTTTTGAATCAAGTCTACTTTTTCTTTTCATGCCTTAATAAAGTATATGAAATGAAGAAATTCTTCCAGTGGCACTAAAGAACCATGAAAACATTGAAATACCTGCTTATTACTATAAGATTTGAGTCCAAAAGAAGAAAAGGAAAATTAGAAAGAAGCGTAAAGAAAAAAGTAAAAGGGGAAAAAAAGAATGGTAGTGAATTTGAGAAACCTATTTGCATTTATATTAATTTATATTATTGAAAAATAAATGGCTGTATTTCTATTCTAAATCAGAAAGTTTGCATGAGTTCAAATAATATATATTTTCCTACAACTTATGCAATTTAGGTTATAGAAATTTTTCAATGTTATGCTTCAAACAATATTAATTAAAAGAACATGTAAAACCAATGGTATATCTTTGAAAGCAGGCTTTATTTTAAGTAGACTCTTGGAAGAAAAATTGTTGGACATTTTAGTCAATTCTAAATTAATTCTAAATGACAGCTGAATGTAAAAATTATACATTTGTAAACTTGCAGTGCACTATATTATATTATCCTTATTGGGATGATTAGCTTGCCTAGCATTTTGAACTTACATGTTTGATCTCCAGCACCACACACAAATAGTATTATCATGGTGATAAACCTGTGAAGAAGGAAAATAATGTTACTCTTTAACTAATGCAAAAATTGTGAGTAAGAAATAAATTATCCAATAAAAAGTGGTCAATGGTAGTACTGGAACTAAAGCCTCTTTATTCCTAGCTTTATTCTCTATCATTTGAGAAATATTGCCTTCTTTAATTATCTTTTCTTCACATAGGAGATAAATTCTTATTTGATATTGTAATATACATTGCCTTAATGAGTTCTTTTATGTTATAGGAATACTACAGTCTTCCTTTTAGAAAATTTCTTTAACAAAATGCTTGGAGAAGCCTTCCTAATTGAACTCCCATACAAAGAACAGAAATATACAAAATTTTGCAAACCAGTAACATGTAAGAAGACATCAAATGATGAAAAAGAAACTTGGAAAAATAAACTTTTAGATATAGAAGACAATTCACTTTCCCCGCTTAAGAGGGAAAATCAAGAAAAAATTATGAAAGAAAGTTTAAATGAACAAAGTAATGATACAAATAAAATAAAATCTGTGGATGAGCTATCTGCGGTAAAATGCAAAAATACACCTCTTCCAGGAACTGTGTCCATTGCATTGACCATTCCAAAGAGAGAACAACATGATGAAAGACAAGTGGATTTATATCGATCCTGGTCATGTACCAGTATTTGCCAGAATTATCCTGATCTACAGATTGGAGGTGATCATGTGGGGAACATGTATGATTCAGGCTGCTTTGTTGAACACACACATGATGATGTTTCTAATGGTCCCCTTTTACTTTCAGTAGATATACCATTGGGCCATTCTCCTATCATTGAGCCTCTGGAGAAAACACCCACCTCAAAGTTATTGAATGGAGATGAAATTCGAGAAAAAAGTATGCTGTTTCATAAGCAGCCTCTCTCCAATTCTATGCTTAATAGCTATATGGAAAAAAAGGTCGATGAACTCTATAAACAATTTTTGGAAGAAAATCTCACCAGGTGTTGCTCCATAACCAATCTTATAGCTTCCAATCTGCTAATGAACAATATAAATCAGATTAGTCTTCAAATTTCCCAAGAGCAGAACATAGAGGCATCAAAAGCTCGGGAAGCTCTTCTGCACTCTTTAACACTATGTAATCTTCGTAACATTTCCCATGGAAACAGTTCTGAATTTAGCACTCCTAACTTACAAATATCAAACCAGACAAGTAGGGAACTTGTATCACATTTATAGTAGGAATCAACTGTAGATTAATTTGATTAACTTCAGCAAGACTTCAGTAAGAATAGTCTTCTCTGGCTTATCATGTCACATAAAATCTCTTTTGAGGTATGGTTATCATGCTGCTTTAAAAAATGATTTGACTCAGTGTACATTCAAGTTGTTGTAGGAGATAACTATAAGAACTAAGTTTTATGAGTATATTTTCTTACTGTTTTGACATCATTAGTGATTACGTGCTTATCTACAGAGTAGTCACTGGCACACCAAATCAATCAGCTCACTGTCAATCAACTTTATTTACAACAAAAGTGGGATGAGAAGTGCATGTTTGCTCTAAGCTACTGAAAGGACCACTAAAAGCTATTCAGAATGGGACATTTATTTCTGTACAAAAAGGTTTATAGACATATTAGTAGTGCTTAAATTTTCATTTTATTTCTTAACCCTTTCATTTTATTTATTTCTTAAATCCTTCATTTTATTTCTTACATCCAGGATCCTTTACATTGACAATCAGAATATCCTAGTGAAATTTTACACATATTCATACACACACACATACACATATGTTTATGTGTTTATTCATACACACACATATCATATGTTTCATTTCTTGGTGTATTTGAATGCCTATGCAATGAAATATACAAAATTTTGCAAACCATTAACATGTAAGAAGATCTCAAATGTTTGGAAAAACAAACTTGTAGATACAGAAGACAATTTACTTCCCCTTTAAGATGGAAAATTATGTTATAATTTATGTCGTATATTATACATAATCAGAATAATATATACTACAAATTGTATATCACGATATATAATTTTCACATAAAATTGGAGTATGGGGTCTATTCAAAAATACCTTAAACAAAATTGAATTTAAATAACATTTGAAAGAAAAATGAAAAAAAATTCTTAAGAAAAATAGTGATTTTGTCAGTGCTGTTTGTTTTAAAACTGTATATTTTGAATTTTCCTGGGATAAGCATCAGCTTTGTTACATCAGTATGTTCTTCCTAGTTATTTTCATGGATGGGATGAATTTTAAAAATTTTTTAAAATTGTATGAAAACATACAGTATCCTGGGTTAGAATAAAATTCAGCAACATAGAATTGAAATTTAGGAATCTGATTTAAATAAATTAACCTTATGGGATAGTATGGTTTATTGCAGACTTGTAAACAAAACTCTGCAGTTAATACTTCACACTTCTCTTAGTGATTATCACATATCTTTGCTTGTTAAATATAGTGGTATGAATTTACACTATGGTTTTTTATGGCTGCATTATATAGTAATAATATTTGTGCATTAGTAATCACTCCTTCCCCTCCAATTATCTCTTTTGTCTTTGATTATATTATATATAGTGTATCACCAACTCATCATTTTCATTAAATGTCCTTAGATTTTTTCATTCTTCAAATTTTTATAATAAGTATCTTTGATTTATCCTGTTTATCCCTTCATCACTCTTTTCCCCTTCATTTTTTTCACATAATCTCAATTTCTATTTTTCACATGTTTGATTCTGAAATGACAATGGGTAAAATGTTTTGAAAAAAACTGACTCTCATATAGATACTGAAAATGAGTTTTGTGTATATTTTCTTCTATTTGGTTAAATTTGTATATTTTTAGCACAAGATTTATCAAAATGAGAACGTATTAAAATCTATATTTTCTAAACTGAATTAAATATTGTTAGTCAATAATTTTCTTAGGTACAGTGCCATGTGTTAATATTTGATTTACGAAATGTATCTATTCATAAATAGTGTTGAGACTATATAATACTATATAAAAATGTATTGAGCCAATATCTAATTAAAATGCATATTTATGCTCTCATGTTTAAAATATCCTCCTTTTACCTATACTTATTTCCAACCTCATCAAAATGCTTACTGTATAAAAATACTATGATTAAAATTGGCTAAAATATACTGTAATAATCAAATAAGCAAAGATAATGAGTTTGGTGTTATGTTTTAGTCTGATGTTATACCTGTTAACTTCCTTGTTTTAATGAAATACACATATTAATTTGCAATTTAGCATAGTTTGGGTTTTCTATTTTTCACTATAGGTATCACATTTATGATTATACTTTTCTCTTTCAAAAATATATTTGAAATATATGGAATAATGGTTTTATTTCTGTCTCACTGCTGCAGTAGTTGAAAATATTAGTTTATAGTTGTAAAAATTGGAGAATGTGGGCTGGGGTATAACTTCATCATGGAGCACTGGCTTGCACATGTGAGGCACTGAATTTGATCCTCAGCACCACATAAAAGTAAATTAAAAAGTAAAGGTATTGTGTCCAACTACAACTAAAAATATGTATTTTTAAAAATTGTATAACGTTAGTGATTCAGCAGTTGAAGAGAATTGCCAGATTTCCACAGGGAAGAAGTTCAAGAGGTTAAGAATGTTGCTTAATACAGTGTTGCTTCCTGCATTTATTGGTCAGTTTAAACTACATTTCATCTTTGGCCCAGAAAGGGTTTGAACCAATTTGAGATAAATTTTTTTTCAGGAGAATCCTTGAAACTTGAACCCTATTCAAAGAATAGAGTCTACCCTGGATTCTTGGAATTTTTAGGCTTAATCTGCCTCGTGGACTAATTTCCAGATGAAGCTAGTCTCCATGAGGTTTTTTTTTTAATAAAATTTAATTTTTATTTTTAGTTATACATGATAGTAGAATGTATTTTGGCAGAATATACATACATACAGTGAAATTCCATGAGGTTCTTATGGCAAGAGCTACCACTTACATGGAACAAGCAAGGTTGTAAGCTGACTGTCTAGATCTTAGTAAAACCAAAGTATATAGCTTCTGCTTTGGGGGCAGGATATCAATCTATCTCCAAATATAATTAATTTTTCTTTCTTTTAACAGGTAAGTTTAGTTAATATATCATTACTACATGATACTGACTTGGATTAAGGGTGAAGGAATGGTTGGATAAGGATTATTGTGTGGAATAAACTGAATTAGTTGTGTAGTTAAGTGTACAACTGTTTTCAGTCAATACAGGAAAGAAAGAAATCAATAAGTTAAATTAAAAGCCATTTAATGTTTTCATGACTAGTCACTTGCATGGAAAATTAGCCAATTGACTAAGCATATGTGAAAATTAATGAAAAATAAAATAATTATTTAATAGTAAAAATAAAAGAAAAAAATTGCTGGCAAAAAATTTCTCAAAATATTAAAAATGCCTATGAGCAATTTGGGACTTTTGATTCTCAACCATTACTGTGGGATTTTCTAAATGTTCACATTGTTATGTCTTGATTTAGTATTTATTAATAGATAAATTTAGCATTTATTAATAAATATTAAATCAAGACATAATATTTAGTATTCATTATAAATAAGCTGTTGCAATGATTTTTGGAAACAGCCTTTAAATAACTACATTTAATAACATATCTGTAAATATCAAGTCATAATATTTATTATTTATTATAAATAAGCAGTTGTAACAATTTTATGAAATGCCCTTTTAATTACTATATATAACAGCATATCTGGGGCTGGGATTGTAGTTCAGTGGTAGAGTGCTTGCCTCATACACATGAGGCCCTGCATTTGATCCTCAGTACCACATAAGAATAAACAAATAAAAATTTTAAAAAACCAGCATACCTGTAAAATTTATGGGAACCAAATCAAGATATGATAATAAGTAAGTTATGAAGTATAATGAAGTTGATAACTTCAACTTAAAAATATTGTATTATTTTTATGGGCAACTAAGTCAGAATTTTTCTGCTATTTCTATTTAAAACTGAGAAACTTGTAACTTTCAGAACTGCAATATTGTTCTGGTTTTTACTTCCTCAAATGAACAGAGGCAGTTCATCATGAGAAATATAAATTGTCAAAGACTTTATTTTTATCTGACAGTGATTGAGGTTCAAAGATTGGCTATTTCCTAAAATTTATTTCTCTTGACGTTTGTACACTAGACCAATTTCTGCTAAATAGAATTTAAGTAAAATGTTAAAAGTTTAGGGACCATTTCAGGATCCCAGGGACTTCTGTCATTCTCTTAAGAATTCACTGCACTGTAGGGAATCCATATTATTGTAGAATGCCTTTATAGTCTTCTCCTTAGCAAAAACTTAGGAAGTAATATATAAATGTTCTATATAAGAATTCATGATTATAAGACCAGCTTGAATCTGAACTAGAACTTCAAAATTAGAATAAGTTCTTAGAGCTTTCTGTCTTCCAGAGAGGCATTTCTTTGGGATACTCAAGCTATTAGGAAAAACTGCCTGGCTTTTCATTCATTGAATAAATATTTGTTGAGGACTTTGGTAAGTGATAGGTCTAAATGTTAAACAAAATTGATCCAGTTTCTGTTTTTTACTGAGCTTTCAACCTCGCTGATACAGGATCAGAGAGCAATAGTAAATCATCACAATCTAACTTTAGGCCATGAGAAAATTGTCATGGAATTCTAAATAATCTATATTGGTAGTTCTGCCTGGACTCTTCATAATGTCACCTGAATCTCGTATCAATGACAGTTCTATTGTTGGTATCAATCAGTGTGGCTTTAGTGGTTACTAAACATGTTGAAATATTTCCATGCCAATTCTTATGAAGATGCTGCTCCTAGCCTTACAAGTCCTTCCCCTAAGACCACACTACATACTCTGGCCCCTCCTTCTGGGCCCTTGTATCTCCCCATGATCCAACAACTAACAGAAAAACAACAAGCCTCTAGGACCCAGCTCCAATATTACTTATGACAGTACTTGTCCTTATAAGTTAAATATTTTTATTCTCATTTCTGCTTGTATCTACTTCAGTACTGATATTTGTGTTCCAAAAACCCACCCAGTAATACTATTATTCCTAGACCTGGACCCTCTATTTTCTTGCATTTCTTTAGTAAGTGAAGGCTTATTATTGAACCTCAAGTCTTTTATCGGATCTTCCTTATTTTAGTCACCATCTTAAATTCTCTCTTGCATTGTTTTTGAATCTTTATTGCTTTTTGTTTCTGGGGGGGCCATTTGTTTTTTTTTTTTTTTTGATAAACTAGAAAGACACAGGCTATCTTATGGAATTATTGCTTGACTTCCATTGACCAAATTGAGTGATCAAGATACATAATACTCTGAAAAGATCTAACTTGTGTGTTGGATAATGATTACCTTGAACATTGTACTACATAGGGCTGAGGATATAGCTCAGTGGGTAGAGTGCTTGCCTTGCATGCACAAGGCCCTGGGTTTGATCCCCAGCAACACAAAAAAATAACATAAAATCTTAAACATTGTGCTATATATTATTCCTGCTTCTTATGTAATCTCAGACATAAAACTACTGATTTTCTTTGTGCTTAATAGTGAACCAATTATTTCTGCTTCAGTTGCTGAGGAGTTAGACCTTAAAGTTTTAGTTATGAAGGGTCCATGTCCTGAGAGAGCTGCTGTCTATGTAAAGCTTCCTAATTTTTTTTTTTACCACAGAGCTTAAAGCATGAAACCAAAAGGTTTTATTACCTATTAAATACCTGTATACCTAACAGGGAGTGTTCTGTTATTGGTCATTGTCACGCAGTGATACTAATAGTTTTGAATTTGACTATCAGTTGTATGGTAGGCATCCGCTAAAAGCTGTGCTCACATTATCTTCTTTAATTTAAACAAACTTTTAAAAATTATATTTAATTATATTATTATTTTTATTTCAGACAGGAGGAAATTAAAGTTCAGAGAAGTTAAAAAATTGCCTGAAACTATAAAGCTAGTCAAAGTTGGAGTCAGTATTCAAATAAAAGCATATACATCAGAACCTGTGCTGTTAACCCAGGATTGCCAGATAAATAAACCTACAGGAATCCAGTTAAATTTGAATTTCAGAAAAAAAAACAAGGATTTACTTTTAGTGTAAAATGTGTCTCCATGCAATATTTGGAACATACTATATTAAACATTTTTTATTGCTTATCTGAAATTCAAATATAACTGTGAATCCTGTATTTTATCTGACAATACTATCTTAAACACAAATTTTTGTATTTTTCACAGTGATTTCTAAAAGAAGAGAATATTGAAGGTGGAGAGGGAACAATTTAGCATAACATAAATGCAGTGGGTAGAGAATTGAGTACCCAGTGAAGGGGCTAGGGAGACCAAGAATTATGAAGATTGTAAACCAAAGAAGTCATTTTATAGAATCATCACCTTAAAGGAGAAATAGGAAAAAAAAAATAATTCCTGTAGAAACTGTATAATTTAGTGAAGCTTTTGTCCTGTGGTGGTATCAAGACATCAGTGTTTCAGTCCTGTTACATAAGTAAACCATTCAGTGAAATGTGGGAAAAGTAAAGGTTTTAGAATTAGAAGGTATATGCTTTAGCAAAGTTTCATCTCAGCCACTAACTGCCTGACAAGATACTTTGCTTCCTCTTTCAATATACTTATTTGGAAAAGAGGATAGCAATATTTGCCCCAACTATAACACAGGAATTTTGTGAGTATTAAGGGTGGTGAAAAGACCTGTTAAGTGATAAGAGATACTACTAATCTAAACCTTTTATATAAAGTATCAGAGCAATTATAACAAATTAATCATCATGTTCAAATTTGTGGTGGTAGAAAATTTTCTTTTTTTCCCTAGGATTATTAATGTTTGTAAAAATTTTTTTCTGACCACTTCACAGGACCATCCAAAAAAATAAATGCAGGATAAGGACACAAAATGTTTTTTACATTACTTTAGGGTCATTCTTTAAACTATCTTAAGAGTGGACAAGAGATCAAATTGTGGCAGTTAAATTGTAGAAAATAAACAAAAGCAAGGGAGCTAGTTGGAAATCACATCAAGAGAAAAAGATTAATGGGAATAACTCTTGACAGGGTCCATTGATGTTGACATAAAGTTAGGAATCATAGCTGTAAGTGTCTCCATATGTCTGGAAAGGAAGTTTCCTTTGGTAGTGCAGGTACACTAAGGTAACTTCTGACCAGCTCTTGACTCCAGTGCCACATTAACATGGGATTGACTTGTAGATGAAGCCA